GCTTCTTAGCATATATATATATATATCGCGCATCAAAAGAAAGGCATCAAGCAAGTCATTATACATTTTTAAGTGGAAATATTCATTCGTAAACGTTCTAATTCTTTTCTCGTTTGTCGCTAAGCATTATTCAACGATTCGCTATGACATAAGTATATGTATATGGAACATTGTAGTATCGGGGAAAATCGAAATGAAGGAAGTAGAAGCTTTTGGTTGTGGGACGTCAGGTACTACAAGGAAGAAGAGAACAGTTGCGTTTAAGCTGGAGGTCGCTGGGCCTCGACGTTTCATTTCCGTCGACAGGACGGAAGTTTCCACCCCCGGTATAGAGGAGTTTGTCTTTTGTTCACTATGGGGCGAAGTATAGGCAAACAGAGCAAATGGAAGGAGAGACGAGCCAAGAGAGTTGGAGTGAGAAGACGAGTAAGGGTAAAGAAGACGAGAAGGGGTAAAAGAGGAGAAGATCTGGCCGAGAGGACCAGAAGAGAGAGAAAATACTAATAGTAGGAGGTAATGCCATAAAGGAAAACGAGCGGCTTAAAGAGTTTAAATATACGCTGGAAATTAAGGTCGCTTCTACGCAAACGTAAACCTGACTATTTTCTTTCTAATCTTTTTTCCGTCTTCTTGGGCTACGTTCCTTCTTTCAACCGCCGCACTGTATCGTCGCAGTGCATTGGGAGAAAAAAACGACTAGGAACGACAAGGGGAGTTCTTTTTCAACGTTTAAACGTTTCCTGCAAGTGCTCGCTCGCTCACGAGAGAGGAAAGAGAGAGAGAGAGAGAGAGAGAAATCGAGTCGAGTGTCTCTCGTCTACGTACGTCCACGTTCTTAAGAAGAAGGCAAGGGTATAAAATATGGCCAAGTCTCTTTTGCGCTAGGTGTGCACGGCATTTTGATATCGCAAAGTGCTGCATTTTACGAGCCTTCTAAAAAAGAAGACGCTCCCGAGTAGCCAGTTGGTGTCTTTCTACGTTCGTAAATAATAACGATGCAATGGGAATAATTCTTATCGTAGCATGTATCTTCTTCTCGCTCTTTTCAAACTTTAAGATATCGTCTTTCGCACAAGCGAACTTCCTTTTCTTCGTCTATCGTTATTTTGTTATTTCTGATGTTGTGAATCGAGACTTTTATGGACGATCAAAATGTACTAAAGTTGAAAGCAAAGAAAGTAAAAGAAAGAGAAAGAGCGAACAAAATCGCACAATTTCGTTTCTCGTTCTTTTGCTAAAAGAATGGGACTGTCTTTGAGGGTTCAAAGTGGCCGAGTTTATGACCACCACTGAATCGATTTGGCACAGCATTCTTTGAATGACAACAGATCGAATTGGTTGCTCTTTACGATTTTGATGTTAGGCCAACCAAAGAGGAAGAGTGAGAGAGAGAAAGAGAGAGAACGTAGGCGTCGTCGATTCAAAATAGCAACACTACCGAGACCTATATTCTACTTTTGCTCGTGATCATATAGGAATACATATACAGGATGAATCTAAATTCAACCGACAAACCTCCAGTAATTATAAAGGACAGCCAGCTAAATAATTTGAGATAGGAAATCAATGGTCAGAAATCAGTTGTTCACAAGAACATTTATATTTAATATAAAAAATTAAATTAATACTACAGTATTCTAAGCCTCTATCTGGATAGGAAACTGTAATTAGACTACCTTAGTGTTTAAGTAAATTAAGGTACAGTGCGAGCATATATTTTCTATAGAAAATAATTTTATTATCAAATTCTTTCACCCTATTGGTAAAAAACAAAGGATTTCGAGCATAGTTTACCATCTCAAAATACTTCAAATAATAAAATTCTCCTATTAGCTAACACAGTTTGTCAGTTGAATTTAGATTCACCCTATATATATACTTATGTTATATCTCTCATGGTCAATAGATAAGTAGAAGTTATCATAACTTGACTTTTTTTATTTGGTGTCTTTTCTGTTGCATCAATTCGAAGATAAATTAACGATAGAGAAGAATCATTAATGGGAAAGAACATTTAATTTATAAAGCAAATGTTATTTACAAAAATTTGTAAAAAGATATAATTCGATGGATGGCTTTATGTTAAGCAGTACAGTTGGAAATTACGAGAAAACTAGAACGAACAGAATGCAGTTGTAAGTCATATAGGAGTACATACATTATATTAAGCCTTGTCCTTACTGAAGCAAAAACAATAATGTTTCATATTGATATTCCATGTATCTTGAAAAAATCGCCGTTTGTTACCGGATCTTTCTGCAGATTTCTGTCGTCAGGAACGAATACTGCCGCTTATTGACTGTTTCCATTCGAAGCGGTAAAAATGAAAAAGAAAAAAATAGAGAATACGTGGCAGCAGAAACAAATGCTCCTACAATGTATACATAAGTGTAGTCTTAAAACCGAAACAAAATAAAAATGTTCCTGAGATAATGTTGCTTCAATGTGGACAAAATATTTCTATAAATTGCTATATCTGTTTGTTGAAAATGTTTTGAAACATGCAGTGAACAAAAGGCGACAGAAAGTCTCTTATTGTTGCTTCAATAAGGACTTTAAGGCTTAATATAAAATCATTTTATGGATTAATCTTTTCCATATCTTCGTATATACTATTCGTTCTATCTCAACACGATCGGCTGTAGAAAAAATTACAAATTAATTTCTACTGGTCTTGTCTTGCTGACTTCACATTAATTTATTCCATTAATATTAATTATCATTTGACTACAAAAATTTTGTTCGATGATAAATGCGTGTAAAATCCTTTCACAAAATGACGCCATATTCTTTTCTTCATTTCGCGTGTCCGCGTTCTTCCTCTGATGACACTATGTTCGCTTTACATGCATACATTCGTGTGGTAATCAACTTTGCTGAAACACCCTTCATTCGTGATACAAATAACAATTCTACTTAGCACATCTACTTAGCACATCTCTTTGAGATCATCGATATCTGATTTTTCCGACTCTACTTAAAAAATGTAATATAAATTAATAGTATATTATATAATATATATATAAGTACATTCTGTTTTATCGTTATTCTTAAAAAATGATGAAATATATTATGTCGCCTGCTATCCGATTATAAAGAAAACTTAATTCCAGATTCAATATGTTCAATATCGTACACGATATCTTAATCAATGAATCATATCTTAATCAACAATATAAACAGCAATTTGCACAATTAATAAAAAACTTAAAAAGTAAGAAACAGTAATTTATTCAGTTTTCTCAGCATAATGTTAAGTTAAAATATATATGTTGTTGACAAGATAATATAAAAGATAGTTTAATAGTCGCTTTGAAGAAATATTTTTTGCTTGATTAACGGTTGCCCGATTATCGTGCGAATACTTTATGCCCGGCAATTTTCCAGTAAATCACAAATTAAGAGAGGAGGATAAGTATCGAGCCCATTAAAGCCAACAACGTCAGGAGCGGCTGATGCAGCGTGGCGCGTCAGCAGATTCTAATTTTGCAGGCGAATATCGCGTCCTCGGCATTCGCCTAACATGCTATTTATCCATATCATTTTCTTTTCGTCTTTTCTCGCCATCTTCCTCATAATTCTCTTTACATGTAGCATCAACGATCGCGCACGTTACGTACATTCCATTCTCATTCTTCTATCTTTTTTCTAGTTCCCGCAAATATTCGTTTGGGTGTTGAACAAAAAATCAACGAAACCAAAGCAACGAACGAACCAACGAACGAACGAACGGACGAACGAACGAACGAACGAACGAACGAACGAACGAACGAACGAACGAACGAATGAACGAATGAACGAACGAACGATCGAACGAACGAACGAACGAACGAGCGAACGAACGAACGCGGCACATTAATTGGAAGCCGGTATTTCGCTTTCCACCGCAATAATTGCTAGACGTATCAGTAATATCGAAGAACTCGTTTTCCAACGGTGTACCATCGACACAAGGACGAATTTCCTCTTCCTGCCTTTACCACTTTTCTCTTACTCTCCTTTATCTACTTCTTTCTCATTAGTATCCGTTGTCGAAGTAAAATCGAAATTCTTGAGAATCAAGGAAATTCACGAATTTCTCATTTTCGGATGCCTTCGAAAAGAGGAACCTCCAAATCTCCTGAAGCGACTGCTTTTAAATGGGCGTAGTTAAGAAAACAATGAGTGACCTATGATGAAATGAGGTCCGCCGCTTTCCGATGACTCCTTCTCATGTCTGTGACATTGAAAAATTGTTGAATTGAAACAATTGATTCCATCCAATAATGAATATTGCCCGCTCAAATCAAATTCTCTGAAAAGTTTTCACGAGAAAAATGATCGGGGATATTCTCGGAATCTATCGCTGACACATCGAGAAAGAAAGAAAGATAGAGAGTTAGAGAGATAAAGAGAAAAAGATAGGACTGATATCGGGGCTAATAGAACGAGTTGCACCAGGGCACCAAGCTCCAAGCCAAGTTTAGCACCGCGGAATCCGGCCCAAACACAACCAAAATAAATACTAATCACAAATCTTAATCAACGGATCCAGGTTTCTATATATAAGTATGGCTCTCTCATTCTGATGCCAAAGCGACTCCCGAAGTTATGTGTCATCGTGAATAATATTCCCTTGGTCTTAAACTACGAATTGAGCGATTAGTATTAATTTTTTTCAATTGGAAGATATTTTTTTGAACAAAGCCCATGTTTTGATCAAAAATGTTTCAAACATTTGCATCTGTATAGTTTATAAGTCGAATAATTGTAAATCGTTAATTTACAAGACATTCGATGTTGTTACATAATTTACGAAAAGAGGCAAAATATTGACTTTTCTGCAATATAATAATTAAAAATTAAATTTAATATGAATATATATATATATATATATATATGTTAATATATGTATATATATCTAAGATTGATTACAAATTGATAGTGATTTACTAATTAATTCAGATATCGATTTCAAAGCAGGTTATCGTTATAGATAGAAGCGAATATTGAATCTCGTTACACAAGTGCGTTTGGCATGATTTCCTCGTGATATTCCTCCTCGAATACTTGCGCATCTTGATACTTCCTTGCCTCTTACGTGTACCTTAACTATATATTCATGCGTCTAATTATAAGCGATCTATGTTTGAATAAGTGACCGATATTTTCTGGCATTGACAATACTATCTCTTTCGCTCTGGTTAAAAGTACTAGCATTTATATGACGTGTCGAGTTATGTTGTTTCGTAATGAAGTTATCGAATATTTCGACCTCATAATTGTCATTCATACCGATACCTTGTAAGAATGATGCGAATGAAAGGTTGATTGGAGACTTTACGAGCTGCCATCTTAGATTTTCATGAATAACATCGTTTCTTCGTATATACATACAGCTTCCTACGGACAAATTATTCGTCGAGGTACGGGACATATCCTCTTGTTTTGCACTTTACGTCGTATTAATATGTTGCTTTGACGTCACCGATACATTAAATTCAACAGGGAGGACAATTCGAAGTTAACGAAGGTTAACTAATGCGTCTATGCACGAGTTCGCTCATCTTCGCTTTCCCCTTCGTTCTCTTCATTTCCCCCTTTCTCGATACCAATATCGCCTTGCGTAATCGGCTTTTGCTCGGTTAGAAATAAAAGCCATTCCAGTGAATCGCTTTAAAATGCTCATATAACTTCGTTCGATATTTTCGAACATTTTGCCAATGAAAATCCTCACGACTGTGAATAGAAAATATAATTCGATTTTAATGACTTCGCATTTCGACGATTTGTTTCGCATAATTCAATTAAGTGTGCGTGCCTGCTCTTGATACAGTTAGACGTATATGAAATACTATTATATACGACGGTAGTGGATATAGAAAGAAAAGAAAAGAGAAAACTAGTGATTCGAGAGAAAAAGACAAAGAGATGAAAGGGCAGGAAGAAGGTGAGAGATAACGAATGAAAACGAAGCATACGCCAGTGAAATCGGATTAAGACATCGAGCTGGATATTGCATTTTTGATCGGGTTCTGCTAGTCCAACGGCCTCCACTGCTCGTAACCGTCGGTGTTTCCTGTTGGATTGAATTATTAAATTCAATTTTTCGAGTACTGAGAGATTTGAATTATTAAACTAGGCTTGGCGCAGAGACTCTTTGCAATCGCGGTCGTGGCCTGTGTTTTTCTATCTATCCATCTCTTTCTTTCTCCCCCTTCCTCTTTTGCTAGCTGGCACACATACTCTATTCTCTTTTTCTTTCTCTCTTTCTCCCTCTCTCTCTCTCTCTCTCTTTTTCTTCTTCTATTTTCTTCTGATTTCAATCACTATCTATTTTTCCTATTTTATCACTAGACTGCGCTTCAGTTTAGTTGCGTAGGTAATTTCATATCGTACCATTGAAAATTAATAAGGGACAATTCATGATATTTATGCGATTTTTCTCATTTTACCATGTCATCAACTTCGTTCTCGCAGTCGTAGTAATTATAGTCGATACTCAATAGTAGGATCTATGGTTGGGTGGTTTTTAGAACGATCTTATAGGAGTTCAATGATACGCTCGCTGAATCTTCATCTCGTATGTTGATAAGAAAAATAACAAAAGGCTCTATTTGTACAAATGAAGTTTAAATAATAGTGATTGTTATTGTTGAACCGTTTGAAAGAGCTATGAATCGTCTTATACGATAAACGAAACTATTATTTTACTCTCAACATACTGGAATCAAGTAATGTCTAAGAATTTTAAATATCTTATGAGATGCAGAGTGTATGGCGACTCCATTCGTAAAAACATTCGCTCGTGTATTTTGTCAATCGCGGAAAAAACAAACGTAGATAAACGATGCTAAGGGAGAGTAGCTGATCGAAGAGAGATCGATCGAGATCTTCGATTGGACGTATCTCTCTCCAACGGTATTACCGCTATTCCTATTACCGGCCAGAGCAGTAGGACTGTTCTAACTCTCAATCCAGCAGTACTCGAGACAGAACGAACGGACAGAGAGATCTAAAGAGACAAAGAATAGAGGATCTTTACTGGCTAGTTTTCCGCGCGATTTCCCGCGAGAAAACGAGAAAGGATTGAGGATCCGAGATTGGAACGGGACGAGGTGGTTGTCACGGAAGCGAGGAGCTAAAAGAAAAGACGGAGAAAGAGAAAGTCGAAATCGAAAAAGCTCCGAGAAAGCTTCTTAAGTGGGTAGTGCGGCGAAGAGCCGAACTGTTCGACGGTGAGTTAAAGGTAAGAGGGAGAAAGATGGATAGAGCTGGAGAAAGAAAGGAGAGAGAGAAAGGGAGATGGAAACAGAAGGAAAGAGCTAGAGAAGAGAAAAGGGAAGAATGGAAAGATATCAAAGAAGACAATGGTGTAAGTGAGACGTAGAGTACTGGCTTAGCGAAGCGTATTATCGTATGAGAATCTCTCATCGGATCCAATAGTTCGAGCGCGCGGATGTGGAATAAAGCTCATCAAGGATTCAGTCCGCAATCCGCATTCGATGAATTAAAGATGTCTCCAAGAGTAACAAGAATGGATATCCCCTTTATATATATATATATATATATATATATATATATATATATATATCTTTCGTTACTCGCATTTACGCGAAGCATCGCAGATCTTGGTCGTTGCACCCGTTCAGTGGTGGTTCTCTTTCTTCCCGCTCTCTACGAAGTCCCGTAGACTTTTACCCTCCTCATTAGCAATGGGATTAAGCTCTATCATTATACGACCATCGTTCATCGTCGGAAAAGGAAGAAGTTCTATGGATTTTCCTTCGGCTTTATGTCGAATTCGATACCATAAATTGTCGAAGAAGTATCGATGTATAAAGAATAGAAGAGAGAAAGAGAGAGAGGGAAGAGAGAGAGAGAGAGAGAGATAGAGATAGAGAAGAAAAATATGTGAGTGAAGTTCACAGAAAACTTGATGAATCATTTACGAACGAATATATTTCCTTACTATAGCGAATCTTGGAAATATGAGATATCTTGAAAAAGGATAGATTATGTTTCTTGAGTCTTGGTTCAAGACGTAGAAAGGGAGAGTTTAATTCATAATAAAAGAAAGTGTCAGCGTAAAATCCTATCGCAAGGTAGCTACGATAAATTTGCCTGGTGGTAAAGAAGATGGGGTTGAGGTTGAAGGGTAGAGGGAGGTGCTAGAAATGAGAGGGCGCCAGGGGTTGAGTAGATTTGTACCTGCGTGGTTGCCATCATTAGAATGGTGGGCCATAGCTGCAATGCGGGCACCCATGCGACCGAGTGGTGGGGATAGAGTGGTGGCTAGATACCCACTATGCATCGAGTATGCACTATCGCAACTCGTAGAAGAACGGGTTTGGCTCGTGGCCAGGTAGGCTTCAGGTTCTGTCATCCCTCCTACGTTCCTATGTAGCAATCTATATGTGCCTACCAAATCAACTCCTCTTCGTTCCTCTTCTTTCTCTTCTACCTCCCTTCTTCTTCTTCTTCTTCTTCTCCTTCTCTCCACCTTCTTCTTCTTTCTACTCGAATCGGCCCTCCAGCAGAATCTACGACTATAATGTCAGTGTCCTTTTTTGCTATTTTCTAGAATATAAATAGAAGATATATAAATAGGCTGTCTTCTTTTTCCGATCACTTTTTTATCCTTATTTTTCGTCGACTAACATTATATCTACGTCTTTGTTAATTATTTTTAAAATATTTTTTAACTAGATTTAAGATAATTTATTTCAATATTATTGTTCGTAAACTCATTTCCATTAAACAATTTATTCCATGCCAATAAGTTCAAGGAAAGTCCAAAAGCAGAATTTGATTGATTAAATATTCTGAGAAAAATGGATTAAATTTTTTCATCGATCAATCTTCTTGAAGTTTCACTTGCTGACATGCAATTGTAATGCGTAATCCGTAACGCATTGCAAGAAAGCAACTTTCATTATCGCAAAATTATTATTTTTAACATGCTTTTAACTTTTTCCTTTATTTTTTACTTTTTTATTTTGTAGAATCGTTTGCACGTTTTGATATTAACCTCTCATTATTATTCGAATGTAAAATGTTTGCAAAATTGAACGATTTGTGCATACAATCTTATATCTCAATATTTGCTTGAAAGATAAATGATAATATCTTCCAGTTTTTTTATCTTCTCAGGTCGGTCTAGTTCAAATTTCAAGACAAATTTGTACTTACGGTAACGGTTAATGGCTATTCATAAAAATAAGCGCGTATCCACAGCACTGTCTTTTTGGAATGCTGCGTGATGGTTAAAATAGACCGGCACGCGAACGAAAACAACATGAAACATAGAGTTATACGCTCCCCTCTTTCATCTCCTGCTCCTGTTTGTTCATCTTTCTCTCTCTCTCTCTCTCTCTCTCTCTTTGCATCTCTGTACATCTTTATCTTTCTCAAGCTATAAAGTTCGTCCAGGAAAGAGGTCTACGTACTACGTTTCTCCTGCCAACAGACTGAAGTTTATTTATTTATTACTGTAAACGGACACGTACGTCGTCGAATAATCATAGTCCTCATATTGCACTGTTGAAATGAAAATTTACTTTAACAACTGATCTAGCGTGATGAAAGATTAATCGTTACGGAAGATAATGACAATCACAAAAAGTATAAGTAAAAGTCATAGTTCACAATATTATCATACATGCATATTTATCTTCAATTTTTCTACTCATCTTTTTCGTTCCGTCTTGTATTCGTTCTCAAGTTTAAATACAATACTAAAATAATAATCTATTATCGAAGACGCGGCTTGTCTTAACGAGTGGAAAATCTCATCTTTCTAAGATCATAGAAAGGTGGGTACTCCTCTTGTTTCTTCGCTCAAATAAGGAGCCATTAATATAACCCTGGATTGCGCACGTCTCCGCTTTTTTTCCCAACCTCTCCTTTCTCGTTTGCTTTTTCACGCAGCAGTAACTCCGTGTTTATTTAAATAATGCTTTAGGTTGAGCTTTGAGCGTCCTTTGGTGGAGAATAAGTAATCTTGATGGATTCCTGGATGACAAGAATGAGTAGAAGAGAAGAGGAAAACGATGAGAAACAAGAAGTAGAAGAGGAAGAAGAGAAAGAAGAAGGAGAAGGAGGTATAGGAAAGAGAAAGATGAAGACGTAGATAACCTTTGCGAAGAGGATGAGAGCATTTGGGATCGCGTTCGGAAAGAGTGAAAGAGAAAAAGAAGGAAGAACGGAGATATGAGATACAGAAGGATGAGAAGAAAGGGGTAGACAAGGCCATTCGTTTCAATGAACGGTTCTCCGGAATGGGGAACAGGCTTCTCCGTTCCCTCCTTCCAAGTCCCTTCCTCTACTCGATCTCTACTTCTCTTGAAGATCTCAGCATCCATGGAATAGAACGGGATAGAAGCCGCGTATATAGAACTTTATACGAACCCTTCTCTGAATAGAAAAACACTCGAACGGACCAACACCTTTTTTCTTCTTTTCTCGTTTCCTCACCGACGTACTGCTGCTGTATTCTTGCGTGGTTCTTCCACTTCCTTTTCTTTTCCTTCCTCCTTTTTTAGTTCTTCTTTTCTCGCAACCTCGGCATCTTATTTGAATGAAAGCCACCGCTACGGTTTTCCGTCTTCTGCTTCTTTCACTTTTTAAATATGGCGACCAATATATTTTGAGAACTTGATTCTATATTGCAAGTTTTCCTGAGAGGTAGGATGTAAAAAGGAAACATCAGAAGAGAGAGAGAGAGAGAGAGAGAATGAGAGAGAGAGGGAGAGAGAGAGTGGAAGGGAGGAGTTAGAAAAAGAGAGAGAATACAGCATCCTCGACTCGTTTCGAGGTGCCTTCAAATTTGCTTGGTTGGGCAATTTTCGGAGGCACTCGATGCTGGCCTGCTTGAGCTTAGAAACGACATGAAATAGCGACTTAACTTTCGCCTCGTTGAAGAAATTTTTACCTTTCTTCATATTTCTTTCTGGATCTTGAAAATTAGAATTATTGCGGAAACGTTATTTCGTTCTTTCAAAGCGATATATAGATCTCAATAGTAAAGAAAATTAGCAAAATTGATAGTAATTTGATTGACTCTTTGCGCTTTGATGGGTGAATTTAGATTTTTATTAAATATTCACATTCACGGTATATGCCACGTGCTTACTTATTAAAGAATACAAAGGTATGATTAATGTTGACAAATGCGCTAGTCGCAGCGTAACATATGGCGTATCACATCGTACTGGTTAGCTTCAAAAGTATAATAATATCATCGATTTAAACTCGACTGATCGCATGAGTTTAAAATAAAAGATACATTGTCCTATCGTCCTTAGATTAGATTACTTCTCTTGACTCATACGTTATCATTTTCTTCTTTCAATTTGAATACGAATTATCTTTTATTCTGCATATCAAATGGCACTCGCTCAGTTGTTTATATTGCGCCAACAGTCCTTCTTGCTCTCAAACTTAAATGCATCTAGTTCGTTGCTTTAAGATTTACTAATTTACTTTAGATTTACGATATGAAATTTCTTTTAACTTGAACATCGTTTGACGAAACGCAAATACGTGTAAGTAGTTCGACATGAACATTTATCACGCGTTTTCATCATTCGTAACGTTTGTAAACGTGTTCCTTGAATTTACCATCTAAAAGAAAAATCGGCTTTAAATGCTTTCAAGATGATTTTATGATGAATTTATTTTTACGTGACAATTTTTTAGTTTATGATTATATATTTAAAAAATTTTTAAGAAACTTACAGAACATTTTTGAAATCGCTCAAAATTGTCTATTTAATATTCGACCTCTCTCATTAAAAAATTGTCCCATTTGCTCTCGTTTAATCATAATTATGAGAACGGGAGACCTTCTTCATGTAGAGAAATTTTAGCTTAGGCAGCCGTATCACGTGGATATGGTAAAAGGCCAAAGAACTTGGAAATTCCTTTCTTCCTTGCTTGCTATGTACGAGCGAGAAGGCAAAAGAATGCAAGGAATTGTGCACTAGCGCCGATTCTTCGCGTGAAAAATAAGTCGTGCTGAGGAACAATTAAGGAAATGACGCCCGTAAATTTTCGCGGGTTCTCGAGGACGTTTTAAGAGTACCTTCTCGCAAACGACGAAATTGCTTCCATCAATCCGCGCCGAGACAAATTAAAGAAGCATCGTCGAGCGTCCCACGGTTTGCTCCTCTTCGACTTAACGACATTTTCATAGCTCAAACGGAGAATAATGGAATGGTAGAAGAGAGAGTAAGGATTTAGAAGTGTAGAAGAAACGATTCGATCCAGGACAAACTTCATCGTTTTACGCTTTTAGAGATTCCTGATCGTTTCACGTTTACTTGTCAGTCAACTCGGAAGAATTCATATCCAACTTTATTGTCACTAAAATTTCATGAAATTTGGCTATCGAAAGAGAGAAAATTCTATGTAGATCTATCGCAGAATTAATAATAATATTTGATAGCATTGTAAAGATAATTAGTTCTGTATGTGTGTGTTTGTAAATCTTTAGTTAATAAGTTATTTACGATCGATACTTTATGACTATAATATCGTGTTTCGGCTAAACAATACGTTATTATAATTCACCATTTTCAGAGATATCGTCGTAATTGTAGAATAATATACCGGCAGTAGTTTAAAGCGAAACGTAATAATTTAACTAATTATAAGATATTACAGAGTGACTAATGACTAAAGAAAGTCAATTGTACATCGGTGTAGTCGCGGAAGAAACAAATCTTCTCATTCGATCTTTCCTCTGTTAAAGTAGTGATCACCATCATAGTATATTTCAAATTTTCTCTCAAACGCGTCCGTGTGAACTATTTCTGTTGAATTCTCCTTAGTAAATCCGTAAAGATAACCAAATGAGGAAGAAACGCGTCGAGCAAAAGGAAAATTTTCGCATAATTTTCTCTTTTCAACCTATCACGTTAGCGTATCTTCAACTTATCGAAGAAGAAGAGCACTTGCAACCGAATAGACTAGTAACTACCGAGCATTACGAGGTTTTCAAAGCAGTCTGGATAAAACAGCGTATAATTAGATAGAGTGTAAGATATATTTGGAGCTTAGCCATATTGGCTCACCGCCAGGGTTCACCATTTTACGATATAACTACGCGTTGCTGGGAGAGAGAGAGAGAGAGAGAGAGAGAGAGAGAGAGAGAGAGAGAGAGAGAAAGAGAGAGGTGGTAAAGGAAGGGAAGATCGGAAGGGAAAGGAAAGAGAGAACAGAAGGAAAGGTCGAAGGGATGCCATGGTCGGAAAGTACTCGAGATTGGTTACACTATGTTACGTGCCATCGGGCCTTTACAGTGTCCTGCGACGATTTTACCGTAGTCTCCAATAAATTGTTGTCTTCATTATACGTATACTATGCGAATAGAAATTGCACTGTAATATATATGATCCAATTTGAGCTCGTCTCATCGGAAATCTTCTTTCTACAAAAGCAATAAGTTTATACATATACTTGCGCTTTAAGAGAATCGATATTTAATTTTTGAAAGATCAGATCAATAACGTCTCGTTGCAAATTAATTACGATGTAACTCGATGATCATGAAAGGAACGTGACAGATAATTTTTCGTTAGAAAATAATCTTTTCAAAAATCCGACGAACATTAATAATGATATATACATATATTTTCGACCGAGCGTCAATAATCTCACGTTCGTATATCGAGCATGAGTAATTAGCTCCCTACGACGACGAGTTAAGCTGAAGCTCTCTCGTGGATGCACGCACCATGAGTTTATCACGGTATGCGGATTATGCTCGGCACTGTCAAGTCGCGCTGTTATCTACTAATTCCAATTACTGTCAACGATCCCCTTCGTCTCATCGTTCCAAGAGATTTTCGTCAAATCAGGAACGTACTATATGAAATTTTGAAATCTCATAGGTCATGTTATTTTTACGTTCGAATTGATTTTCATACGTAATTTGCGATGTACGAGACCGACGGTGTTTTTCAGTTGCGTGATCCTTTTTCTCATAAAACTATTTTCCCGACACTTGAGTTTGATTTTTAAACGATCGTTAAGCGATCTTTGTTAACAAGTTACTTGCTCGAGTTCGTTTTTCGCGTTTCACCGGGAGATAGAGGACGGCAGGCGTATACCCGTCACGCGGACCAGTTCGATTCCTTCGGGCGATGCGAATTGAGGGGAAAAATGAAAGTTTTAATTCGGTTTTAAATAGAGCTCAAACCGCCCGCAATTACAAAAGTTTTGGTAATAGGCCAAATCCTTTCGGTTGGCGTTCGTTACCAATTCCGTAGCGAATGGTTTTAAATGAGTGCAAAGGCTTTACTGAGTGGTATGTATGTACTTTGAGAAGGGTTCGCGTGATATGCTATTTTGGACTCTATATTTAAAAGATGTGATTTCAGAATCTATCACTTGGTTAAAAAAAAGGCAGATATATGAATTTAAAATAGGTACATACATTTAATGGAGGTAATACATATGTACGACTTATAAAAAATATAGATACGTGTATTCAATGAATATAACGTAGATGTAAGACTCGTTAAAAAGTTAAAATTCTATCTTCCCCATTCCGAGCTGTTACTCTAATCATTAAGCTATCCAGAGGTTCTTCAGTTAATCTTTCCATGAACGACTACTTATATTAAATGGAGTAAAATACAGAATGGTTCCCACATTCAGTCATTCTGCAAAAACATTTGACCACAAATGTTCTTTTCTCACTAAATGTTTTTCAATTTTAATGGTACTGGATCCATAAGGTGTCTCTTTGCCAATTCTCCTAATTACCATTCACGTTGCTGTCGTCGTCTTAAAATTTTCGAGTGTTCAGAACATTTAAGACTTCTCTATCAATTCCCCAGGCCGCCACTCGCGTCACTCTCGTCATCAATTTTTTCCAATAGGTCCTCTTTTTTAATTTAATTTTCCTTCGCGTATTGCTACACGTTTAAGCTAACGACGAAAGTTAAAATTGAACGAAAGTAATTAATACGTGCGCAATTAATAATGGTTTTACAACTTCATCGTGCGTCTTTTCACAAGTTTAGTATTACTTTTTTTCACGAACTTCTTACGTCTCCTCACGAACTTCTTTTTACCAGTGAGGCCTGTTACTTACTAACTATAGATGTATCATTTTTTCTGTCTACCAAAACAATAGCTCTCATCACCCAACAATGTCATAAGATGATTCTATCACATATAGCTAATATATTTATGGAGAATATATAGATATCTATAAACGATAATATTTATAAACGAATTTTATGAGATGAGTAATTCTGATTTTTATTCTTTTTTCCGTTTCAGAGGGCCTTAGAGAGTACTTCACCAAGTATGGAGATATCACAGAGGTCATGGTTATGAAAGATCCCACAACGCGACGATCAAGGTGAGTAATAATTTGGAAAATGTATGTTTCACTTTTATCATCAAGTAATCGTTTATTGGACATGGTCAAGATATTCAAATGCTTGAAAGCACATCGGAGTGTACATCGATCGATCAGTTGGTTCTACTGCGGCATAATCCTTTGAGCTCTCCCTAGAGGAAAATTGCTAGTGGGTGACCATACCGCGGTTAGTAATTGTACTACGCGAAATTTCCGTTGGTCGAATCTACAGCGCGGTCGCTTATCTTCGTGCGGTTCAGAGGAATGTCCCTCGAGGATCTGGATCATGATCTACGGGAACGATCGACGATCCAGCTCGCGGAATTTGAAAGCACTTATTAACGGCATCATGGTATTCTATGCTCGCGTGTATGCCTTTAGAAATACAGACATGCATGCAAAGTTACATTACTATACGCTTAGGTATTATACTAAATGTTGTTAAAAACATAGCCGCTAATATTTCAATAATTTTTATTGCAATTCCTAAGAATATATGAACAATGAATTCCGTGATAATTATAAAATCATCTTGCTACATTCGAATTCGTAGGAATAAAAAGGGTACATTCGAAGATCGAATCGTTTTATCGTGCGAACGACAAAGAACCTTTCGTGATGGAAGAGATTATCGCGTTAAAAGATAATATTCATGAGTATGCTAATGTAGAATAAAACGTTACGTTATTCTCAAGTATGCCGGTATAGGAGAAAAATGTCGATGAATAGATGATATGTAAATATGTTGTTCAAACGAAGGGCTCTTTTAACGAGCCAATCGTTATAAAGTGCGTGTACCTATTTAGAAAATTTATTGAAGCATTAAATATCGGTAGACATAATTAATATTCTACCACGGTGATTACATTCGGTTTTATCGCGGCCAATCGATATATCATAATTGCGTTCATTAAGAGATATGGACATTGTAATCGTGAAGTAGAATCTCACATCTGCACTAGAGCGACGGGTAGATGTTCGCGTTTAAGCGCCGAGTTGCTAAATGCAGCGCATCTGCGCTAGATAGCAAAAGGAAATAATGGACGTTTGGGAATGTTCCACGTTTAGCAGTTAAAGCTAGTTCACATTTGTTGTCACATTTATCTACCTGATAAGTTTATTTTTGGACACCATCTCGGCCTACTATCTTTAAATACTTTTCATGAATCACATCGAGGTATAAACCTATATAGGCGATTATTAACGTAACGCCAGGTATTACCGAAATAGGTCTCAGGTGCAAAATAAATTTGCCGATGGTCAAGCCATCAAGTATAAAAAGGATATGAGGTTTTCTCACCTCGAGGCAAAAAATTGGGAACAAATCTGAAGCGCCATCGGCAAACATCTAGTCACTGAAGTAGGGACGGTAAATGCTGGCATCAGAGTTATTACCGGTTTTTAAATGGTAGGGACAAGGGGAATTGTTACGACGGGGGTAAAAGAAAGAAAAGAGGAATGAGAAAAAGGGAGAAGAAAAAAAAATGAACAAAAGCGAAGATATACATTGGACTAGATATAGGTGAACTCAACGCTATAACGTGAAAAGAAAGAATACAAATCCTTTTTTTCTTGACTTTGGCAAAGCAAAGTGTTATTCACCAATATTTGTAGTACTTCATTTTTATTCCCTTGTTTCATGGACGACCGTTTAACGAACTAAAAAACGAATAATTTCTCGTCGGCAATTTTATTAATTTTAAGTGATTTTCATCTCTCTCTCTCTCTCTCTTTGTCTTTTTTCACCCATTTCTCTTTCTGATAAGCTTTAGAAGAAAGAATGAAATTCGTTTATGTTATTACATGATAGTACTCGTACTAAATGTTCGTAGGGAACATTTCATAGAATACTCGTACTTTTGTATCATTCATAATCAATTCTTGGGTGAATAAGTCACACTCGCGTTTCTTTTGATGTACAATATTTGAGAAAGAGGCATGATTAAAACAGAGAAAGCATGTTCGACGCATTAAAATCATCGTTTAACGCTAAGATCTAGCGTAGTTTATTCAACGGTAAATTATATGTTGTATATGAAAAATGGAAGAATGGAATATTAACATATCGTTGTTGATAATTTGACGATGATACCTATTTTCTTTCAGAAATTTTAACTCTCGTCAAAGAAATAAACGGGCTCGTCTCATTTGTTGATACAATATTCGAAACAATAAGTTGAAAAGATTGCGGACAATAATTGTTGCTAAATTATCGTATAGCTTTTAAATTTTCGTCTCTTTTCCATTAATACCGAATACTCAATTCCTACCTTGTCGTTCTTCGACTAATTAATTGACCAGAAACTTTTAGTCGCCCGTCCCAACCTTCTCTAATTATTCATTCCTTTCATTCCGAAGAGAATGAGAGAGAGAGAGAGAGAGAGAGAGAGAGAGAGAGAGAGAGAAAATGAGAACTACGGACAACAAAACGAAACACAGAACAACTTACTCCTGTCAGAGCTATAAAACAGAAGCAACAACCGAGCCTATTCACACCTGCTTATTAAACGGAAATAAAGCCTGTAGAATCAAAGTCCCTTTACCTTCTTCGTGTTCATTCTCTTCTCTCTCATTTTCACTCTCTTTTCCTCTTTCTCTCTCTCTCTTTCTCTTTCATTTTCTCTCTCTTTTCCTCTCTCTCTCACTCTCTCATTTTCTCTCTCTTCCTTTTCTTTTCCACGCTTCTTGACTTTTCTTTCTTTCTCGCTCCAAATGTTCTAAAATCTGTCGACAGTTAGGAGTTCCGTTCGCTAATCCCTTTATGGATAACCTCGTTTTGATCATATCCGAAAGATATAAAGCCCTTTTATTGACTGAAAACTCCAAGTTTCGGACGTGAAAGATTAGGAAAATTTTGAAAAAGTCTCTTAAGTAATACTCTTTTAAGGTTTCATCACTAACTGGAACTTTGCCATGCTTGTTGCGTTTAATCGGAATTCTAATTTGATTATGTAAAATTGAATTGCACGGTGCGTTACAACGAAGTGCGCTTGGAAATTGAGAGAAACGAAGCGTTTGAGATGCCGCTGCCTGCACCCAAGGAAATACGTGACATGTGTGTATGTATTTTGCGTGAATATTGTAGACACAAAAGATAACGTGCTCGCGTGGGTATATATTTATATCCAAGTCATTGTAAGGACAAAACGAGCGTGAAAAAAAAATCAAAAAATCAGCTTATATTGAGAGCGTGTAATTTGCATTGTTTTGAAACATTGCTTTGTCTAACGTTATTTTGTGTTTTTGTATTAATATATATATATATTAATAATAATATTTTATTATTATTATTATTATTATTATTATTATTATTATTATTATTAATATTATTATTATTATTATTATTATTATTATTATTATTATTATTATTATTATTATTATTATTATTATTATTATTATTATTATTATTATTATTATTATTATTATTATTATTATTATTATTATTATTATTATTATTATTATTATTATTATTATTATTATTATTATTATTATTATTATTATTATTATTATTATTATTATTATTATTATTATTATTATTATTATTATTATTATTATTATTATTATTATTATTATTATTATTATTATTATTATTATTATTATTATTATTATTATTATTATTATTATTATTATTATTATTATTATTATTATTATTATTATTATTATTATTATTATTATTATTATTATTATTATTATTATTATTATTATTATTATTATTATTATTATTATTATTATTATTATTATTATTATTATTATTATTATTATTATTATTATTATTATTATTATTATTATTATTATTATTATTATTATTATTATTATTATTATTATTATTATTATTATTATTATTATTATTATTATTATTATTATTATTATTATTATTATTATTATTATTATTATTATTATTATTATTATTATTATTATTATTATTATTATTATTATTATTATTATTATTATTATTATTATTATTATTATTATTATTATTATTATTATTATTATTATTATTATTATTATTATTATTATTATTATTATTATTATTATTATTATTATTATTATTATTATTATTATTATTATTATTATTATTATTATTATTATTATTATTAACATTATTATTATTATTAGTCTGATATTGCGATATTGTCTAGTTACTAATAAACCATTTCATCATTCTACAAAATTTCCCACGATTATTTCCAAATTAATCGCGTATCAAATACTCAATCGGAAGTTCGACTAATCGTGTAACTAGGATAATGCTTATCAATGATACATCATGCCGATTTTATAAACGCATGTAAGTTGGATAATGTCTATTATCGATGATATATCGTTCATGTGGATATATCAACGTTCCGATTAAGTTTACGATTTCCACGAAAGGAAACCCATGTGGAAATGACAAAAATGTCTTTTTGTATCGATTGAATTCTTTTTTTTTATTATTCGCGACCTTTTTCTCGAAAAGATTTTTCTATTAGTAAAAAATTAATTCATCCGTAATCTCTGGCATACTAGTATTTCCTTTACGTTAGCAAACGGCAACATTTTTCTAGCAGGTGGAAACCACTTAAAGAATTGTCGAAGAGAGATAGTAAATGAGAGAGAGACAAGGCAAAGACATAGTAGGACGTCAGTATAGGGTTGTGGAACAAGGGTGGTTGAATCTCTCAGCGCCACGTCGTAGCTCATATTTCCCGCAAAGGGACGTGGATCCTATATGCAGGGAGTGAGACGTGGAGTTACTCTGCGGGTTGTAAATTAATGGTTAGCCCGTGGCACGGGGGTTCGGCCTAAGGGTTTTGCTTGATCTATGGATGGTATGTGTGCTGGGTCAAACCGGGTCTTGCCCACTGATACGGTAGCTTCACGAAAACTGCTTCTTCTGTCTTCTACCTTAATCGCTCCAAGATTGATATCGCCTTCTCTACCTCTATCGTTCGCATAAGAATCCTCCTTTTATCGCCTCGACCTTTCATGAGCTTTCTTCTTGGACCTTTAAAAAGTCT